TCCACAAGCTTTCTTACACATTGCAAAGTTGTTTTTGGAGTATTCATACACTGTGTAACCATATGTCTAGACAGAACTGGATGTGTAAGCCAGATGACACATTTGCTTGTGCAATGTTAAAGGACCACTATAGGCACCCAGACCACTTCAGCTTAATGAAGTGGTCTGGGTGCCTGGTCCAGCTAGGGTTAACTTTTTTTTTTTTTTTATAAACATAGCAGTTTCAAAGAAACTGCTATGTTTACACTGAGGGTTAATCCAGCCTCTAGTGGCTGTCTCATTGACAGCCGCTAGAGGCGCTTGCGTGCTTCTCACTGTGAAAATCACAGTGAGAAGACGCCAGCGTCCATAGGAAAGCATTGTAAATGCTTTCCTATGAACTGGCTGAATGCGCACGTGGCTCCTGCCGCGCATGCGCATTCAGCCGATGGCGTTGCTTGGAAGGAGGAGAGGAGGAGGAAAGCTCCCCACCCGTCGCTGGAGAAAGGTAAGACTTTAACCCCTTCCTCTCCCCAGAGCCTGGCGGGAGGGGGACCCTGAGAGTGGGGGCACTATAGTGGTCCTTTAATGTTGTTTGGAGATCCTTAAGTCAGTGTTCCATTCTATGGCCTTTTAGTTGAAGACTGCAATTCTCACCCTCTCTAATTTACTTTTTTGTTACAAGAGTTTATGATGTGTATGACTAACTTGATATCATGCAGAAAAAGATTTTGTGTAAATGATTGCTGCTATAAACTAAAATTCTATGTAGCTTATTAAAGGCAGAAGTAATAATCTAATATCATGGCATTCATTGGCTGAAGGCGTTAAACATGGTAAACATGTATAGGGCACAGTGCCAGGGACATGCTGGCACTAACTACTATAGTAGTTTGTAGTGGTTATGGCACTTAGTATGTTTCTGTAAATGCAGATTGCAGATCATTGTAACATTTACTTCTAATAATTATAAAACTATAAAATGGATCATGAAACCTTTATTTTTCTATATAGATCTTATTATTTTAACATGCGGTGAGAGTAAAGTGTTTTAGAAACTCCAAAGACAATGTGAATTGCTAATGCAATTAAAACTAGGGACGGTGCAAACCCATTTTACTAGCTAAACATTCCTTTAAAAAAAATCTTAGCTGACAACATTTTAAATATCCTGTTTATATGAAAAAAGGCTTCAAGCTATAAGTATAGCCTTAGAAACCCTGACAGCCTGATACAAAGAAATACCTATTTCCGAGACTGAGTTTGACAATAATTGCTAGCTCAGTGCCAGGATTTGTAATCCACACACCGCTTGAATCAATTGGAAATTTCAATCAACAATTAGTTTGGCAGCCATTTGCTTCAAAACAGTGTGATGATTACTGCTTGTGTGTGTCACTGAGCTTCTATTTAGTGAGCATGTGTGTGTCAGTGAGCTTCTATTTAGTGAGCATGTGTGTGTCAGTGAGCTTGTCTTTAGTGAGCTTGTGTGTGTGTCCCTGAACTTCTTTGTAGTGAGCCTTCTGTTTATACAAGTGAGTGTCTGTAGTAAGCTTGTGTGTGAGTCAGAGAGTTTTGTCTGTCAGTAAGCCTATATTTTGACTTGTAGGAATGGCATACGTTTTTTTTCCAGGGCTGCTTTGGATTCCCAGGGATTCCCAGTTTGGCTCTGCCAGCGAGTGCACTTTACCGCTGAATAATCTGTGTGAGCTGCCGCACACTTTAGCCCTGTTACACGCGTCTGGGAGCTGCTGTTGACAGGTACTAGTAGTCTAGAGATTGGGGTATATGCTTCAGCCATCTGTATAATACAGATCTGTGTGTATAAAATATCCCGGGATAGTCAGTGCTTCCTGTATAGTGCTGCTCTCTGTCTTGGGATATTATACACAAACAGACCTGTATTATACAGAGAGCAGCACTATACAGGGAGCACTGAGTGTCCCAATTTATTATACACACAACCCTGTATTATACAGAGAGCACTGACTGTCCAGGGATATTATACCCAGACAGTAATTGATAGCTGTGCTGCAAAATGTCCTTGAAATTTTTTTTTCAAATGTTGGCAACTATGGCACTGTATCAAGGATAATGTGTTTGTTTTTTTAATAATCCCTGGTGGAAAATCACGATTCCTCCACCAGGTATTATTAAAAAAACAAAACACATTGTGTCGGGGGCGTGGCTTAACATGTGACAGGGGCGGGGTCAAACTGCGGCGAGGGCGGGGTTAAATGTGCCCCCCTACTTTTGTCACTGGCCCTCCATGTGCCCCCCCGAAAAATGAATCCTAGAGACGCCACTGGCCGTAGTGTGTGTAGGGGTTGTAGAGAGGGTGTGTTTAGAGAAAGTTTTATGTGTTTGCTTACAAGGAATGTAGTGTATGTGTAGGTGGTGCAGTGTGTGTGTGTGTGTAGGAGATCTAGTGTAAAGGACCCAGAGTTTGTATAGAAGATTGTGTGTGTGTGTGTGTGTGTGTGTAGAGGATTAAGAGTGCATATAGGGTAAGGTGCAGTGTGAGGGGTGCTGTAGTGTGTGTGTGTGTGTGTGTATGTATATATATTTGGACGTATTGTATGTGTGAGGTGTGTGTGTGTGTCTAAGAGGGGTGCTGTGTGTGAGGGTGTTTTTATCTGCTGTCACATTCTAGGTTTCTAATTTTCTTTGTCTGTTAACTCACTGAGGTTATTTTATATATGATATATATGTGTGTGTGTGTGTGTGTGTGTGTGTATATATATATACAGGGCAGCCATCAGAAATTCTGGGGCCCCTAACACAGCTCAAGGTCTGGGCCCCCCTTCAAGCCCGCCTCCAAATCCCGCCCACAGGAATACACACACACTAACAGATACAAATACTGAAACAGACATACACACATGCATAGGGAGATACTGACACACACACACACATATACATGCAGACATACATACTGACAAACATACATATACATACACATACTGCATACTGATATATACATACATACAGACACACACTGGCATACACGCACTGGCATACATACACACATACACTGGCATACATGCACTGGCATACACAGGCATACATGGGCATACATACACTGGCATACATGCACTGGCATACATACACACATACAGTGGCATGCATACACTGGCATACACACACTGGCATACATACACTGGCAGACATACATACATACACTGGCATACATACATACACTGGCAGACATACATACACTGGCATACATACATACACACACTGGCATACATACACTGGCATACACACACACACTGGCATACACACACTGGCATACACACACTGGCATACACACACTGGCATACACACACTGGCATACACACTGGCATACATACACACGTACACTGGCATTCATACATTGGCATTCATTCACTGGCATACACACATACACACACTGGCATACATACACTGGCATACATACATACACTGGCATACATACACTGGCATACACGCATACATACACTGGCATACACGCATACATACACTGGCATACACGCATACTTACACTGGCATACATATACACATACACTGGCATACACACACTGGCATACACACACACTGGCATACATACACACATACACTGGCATACATACTCTGGCATTCATACACTGGCATACACACACTGGCATACATACATACACTGGCATACATACACTGGCATACATACACTGGCATACATACACACACACACTGGCATACACACACTGGCATACACACACACTGGCATACACACACACTGGCATACACGCATACACTGGCATACATACACACACCTCATCCCCAGCCACCCTCCTCTCTTCCTTACCATTTCGTCGCAGGAGGGTGGCTGGGGATGATGGGCATCGGCTGCCTCTCCTCAGGCTGCGTCCTCCTTCCCGTGCGGAGTAAAGTGGGAGGAAGTGACCGGACGTCACTTCCTCCCAGCAGCACTTGTTTCCGGCTGCATTTTTTTTTTTTTTAAAGGGGCCCGGTCGCGTTATTACAGCGCTGATCGGGCCCCTGAAGAGAATAGGGCCCATTGGATGGCCCTAAATGCTTGGGCCACCTGATGGGCCCCGATGCAGATACACCGGCGGCAGTTCTGCTGATCCACATGGGGCCCGGGCGGCTGGGCCCCCCAGGGCTGCCGGGCCCGTGACAATTGTCACGGTTGTCATGCCCTGATGGCGGCCCTGTATATGTATGTATATATATATATATATATATATGTATGTATGTATGTATGTATGTATGTATGTATGTATGTGTGTGTGTATATATATGTGTGTGTGTATATATATATATGTATATATATATATGTGTGTGGGAGTGAGGGTGCTGTGTGTGTCTGGGGGTGCTGTTTGAGGGGGCTGTTAGTGAATTTATTTTAATATATTTTTATTAATAATAAAAAAAAAAAAAGTTATGAGCTATTCTGCCATGAAGGGTACTGCCTTCCCTGGTGGTCCTAGTGGTGAGAGTGAACTCTGCAGGCTAGAGTTCACCCTTGCGAGATCTGAGCATTGCCGTGGTATCCGCAGCAACGCTCAGACCTTGCGATAAATCCAAGAAGATCCAAATGAATCTTCTTAAAAAAAGAAAAGGGAACACTTAAGGGTATAGATCTTATAAAATATAAGACTTGAGGGAGAATATTCATTTTGATAGAAACTATCCTCCTGAACCAGGATAACTCAAGGTCAGACCATCCTACCAACTCTTTTTTTTTAAATTCTGGCCACAACTTGGCGAGGATAAATTAATGCATGTTTGACAGGTTCTTGGTCAAATTAATTCCTAAATAGGAAATAAATTACTTTCTCCAATCAAACTGGTATCCCTCCATCAATGTTTCCAACACAGACCTTGGAATATGAAATAATAATGCTTGAGTTTTATGAGAATTTATTTTATAATACGATATTTTTCCAGAATTCGAGTAAAATGTCCATCAATGGGCCCAAAGATGATTCTGGGTCTCCAAGAGATAAAATCACATCATCAGCGATTAGGCCCACTTTATGGGCACCATTACCTATTTTAATTAGCTTAATTTCAGTTGCTCTGCGTATGGTCTATGGTTCCATAGCTAAAATGAACAATAATGGTGACAATTATCTGGTACCATTAGACAACAGGAACGTATCAGAAACAAAGCCTGATGCATATACTTCTGCTGATGGTCTGCAGTACAGTGCGAAAACCGCATCAATAAAAGAGGAAGGCAAATTCATCCTGACCATCACCCCTCTCAGATAGTCCCAGTGTATTCTATCAAATGCCTTCTCAGCATCCAAAGACAGACGAAGGAAAGGTGTCTGATCAATTTTAATTTGGTGAATCAGATTAATGAATCTTCTGGTGCCATCTGGTGCTTGTCTGCCCATAACAAATGCCACCTAGTCATTGTTAACAAGCGAGGGCACAAGCATAAAGCCAATCGGTTTGATATTTTAGCATATAATTGTAGATTATGCTAGCTTTAGTGTACCTATAATCTTAATTTTATTAATGACAGGAGGCGAATATTTGCTTGAGTCTCTCTTTACTAGAACTCCACAGCAGCACAGAAAAAACAACCAATCCGAAAAAAGTAAAGTACTATAAAACTCCCTTCCTCATACATCATTTCCTCTTTCAAGCTGCGACAAAACAGAACAAAAGGAAGAAAATATAATAGAGAAAAAACAAAGTCCTAGATACAATGAATACAACAACGTCCATCATCCGAGAAGAACTGTCAAACCAGCTAGCGTTGAGGGACTGTAAGCTGAAACGAGAGAAAACAGAATCGAACAGGTTGGTTAGCCAATGAAATGTACGCTGAACAACATGTAAGCACCCAGTGAGATAACCAGAAATACCATAACCTGCATAGATCCCAACCTTTACTTAGGAAACACGGACATAAGAACAAGTGACAGGTAGCAGAGACAATAAGCAGAGTTGCATACCTACCTGATGAACCCAAACTATAAAATTTAAACAAGGGAGGGATAAGAATGGGAGGGAAATATTTGCCTCCTGTCATTAATAAAATTTATATTATAGGTACACTAAAGCTAGCATAATCTACAATTTTATAACATGACAGGAGGCTTCATATTTGCTGTTTTAACGCTCAGCCAACAAATCCAACGATGATTGTTTCGCTGGTACCGATTCTGGGAGAAGACTAGAGCAATCCCAAATGGACCTTCCAATAGTGAGAAGTGACAGCAGACGGTCTCTGAAGGTGTCAACTGTCAATGTACCACCAATTACGGAAAACACACAATCCGCTGTTATATCCACTGTACGTGGGATAGTGATCAGTTTCCTGGAGCACGGTCCATGAACTGCCAAGTCAATCATTAACCATTTTCCTATAGGTCTATCTTCCAAAGATCATATACGGACCTGGAACCGCAGGAGGGAAACTGTCAACCTGTCACGACCCTTGATGTGGAAGATGGCTCCTCCGATCATGCCAAGGTCACCAGGTGGTGTGACCTTGTCGTCAACCTATGCATTTGAGTCCACCATCAATTTCGTAACCGAAGGGTCTTCACCCTTCCAATCATATTTAGGTGCACATAGACCGGTGTCCCTTCAGATAGTCTGGTAGCAGTGCCTACCTGGACACACACCTGTCTCTGTGACAATAGTGTATACTGAGATACCTCAGTAATATTCCCCCAGGCCTGCGGCCAAAGGGGGTTCGAGTTCAGACCCACACCGGTCGATAAATATGGCACAGCCAGAGCGGGCCAATCGAATGTGTACAGACAGAGCAGGCCGACCAGGGGCACAGACAGAGCAGGGCGATCACAGGGGCACAGACAGAGCAGGGCGATCACAGGGGCACAGACAGAGCAGGGCGATCACAGGGGCACAGACAGAGCAGGCCGATCACAGGGACACAGACAGAGCAGGCCGATCACATGGGCACAGACAGAGCAGGCCAAATATGGGTGGTCTATTAAAGAGTAATAAGGGACCTCTGTGTTTGGGAAGAGTCCCATGACTACCTGTAAATCCTCAGGGAATCCTGTGATACAAAACACTCAGACACCAGCCCCTTTAGACAGTGTAATACTGTCTGAATAAACCTTAACAGGAACTGGCTGTCCCTTAATGCCCAGCAGGCAAAATAGTGGTATTCCAGCTGTAGTGGATAAGCAGTAGTTGGTCCAGTGATTATAGTGTCCATTAACTCAAGAGGTACTGAACCAATCTTTCCTTAAACTGTGAATTGCTCTGCACATGTATAGATAGTCATGTTTGAGATTTCTTATTTTTATTACACCTCATGATACCCCCTGAAGGGCATTGCACCAGTGGTATATATCATTAAGAGGTGCTAACCAATGAAAATGGCTAATATAAAGAAAGGCTAAGTCAGGTCTGCAAGGTATTTAACCTTCCATTTTAGTTGTGAATGATATAGAAGCTGGAAACTAACCACTGAGCTATCACTCAAGCTTGTTACCAGCTCAATAAAACACCTATTGAGCCTGGAAGGAACCCCTGTCAAACTCTAATCGGAACATTAAATAATGAGAAGCAAATAGACCCTAGTGCAAACCAGCAGACTGGATCTGTATACGCCCTGTTACAGAGCCAGCGGGACAACAATATACCCGAGATCCGACCTCCGTGGGCGGAGGAGGGGCCGCGAGCAGGTGCACCCTCCTCTAGCCGGTCGGACGCACGCAGCTCTTTGAGGGAGCCAGCCGCGGCGAGGCAGCCACATGCGAGAATGGGTCCGGCCGCCGGGTAGTCGCGTCCGTCCGCAAGTACCCCAGATGCCAGCAGGCTCACACTGGAGCTCGGGGAGCCAGAGGAGGCAGCCAAACGACTAGCCTCCTGAAAGCCCAGGCGAAGCACCCTTGGCCCGCATGAGGAAAGGGCGGGAAAGTAACAGAAGGGGGCGCCAGAAAGCGGGGTAGCCGAGGGGTCTAAGCCGAGGGGGGTAAATGCAAAAAGGCAGGGTAAACTGAAAAGGAAACCCCAGGAAGCCCCCATAAAAACCACCACACTATAAACAAAACTATCCCAAAGCAAGCAGGGAAAGCAAAAACCAAATATCAAAAAGGGTAGTAGTCCCAAATAAACTAAATATAACTAATGTAAATCATAAATCATAATAAAATCCCAAACCCACCCACTAGAAGCAGGAGGCAGTGGTACTCTGACCTGTACTGAATGCAGAGCAGCAAAGAGGAAATGATGTATGAGGAAGGGAGTTTTATAGTACTTTTTTTCTGATTGGTTGTTTTTCTGTGCTGCTGTGGAGTTCTAGTAAAGAGAGACTTAAGCAAATATGAAGCCTCCTGTCATGTTATAAAATTTAGTATCATTATTCATTAATGATATTGGGTGAAAATTAGAACATTGTTCTGGTGACTTTCCCAGCTTTGGCAAAATGATTATTCTGGCTTTTAAGGCCTCTTTTGACATAACTCCTGCATGCCAATAATAGCAAAATACTTTTGTCAAATGGGAATGACGAGAATTTTTTATAATATTGCAAAGTAAAGCCGTCTGGTCCAGGCGCTTTACCACTAGGGTTTTTTCTAATGGCTTCTAAAATTTCATCAGACGAGATATCCTTGGATAAAAGTTCTACATTTTCTACAGGGATTTGTGTCAATTAAATTTTATCCAAAAACCATTTAAAAAAAAAAAAAAATTTATTTATCTGATGAAGGTTAGGAAATACCTGTATCATTTTCCAAATTATAGAGGGATATATAATATTTGGCAAACATGTTACTAATTTTAGTTGGGTGGGTAATTTTATTTTTCTGCTCATCATATAAAAATGCAATTCTTGATTGCTGGTTTGTTTTCCAGAGTTTAGCTGCCAGCAGGGAAGAGGCCTTATTACCCTTAGAATGAGATGTTTGTTTTAAGGGTCTCAATTACAAAAACAAATGCTCCAATTGAATAACATAAATTTTGTTTTCATAGTCGAAACTGATCCTGAGGGACTGAATTTATTAGCCTGATTGAGATTATAAAGTTCCTTTCCTAGTGTTTTTAAATTATTGGATTTAGTCTTTTTTAAGAAACTTGCCTTCCGTAGGAAATGGCCTCTCAGAACCGCCTTATGAGCATTTCACACTGTACTGCGATGAACATCGGAGTCAGTATTGTCATTAGACGTGGCCTGGCTGCTGACTGTAATGGCTGCTATGTAAAAGAGTTCTCCGCAGATTTGGGCTTTAGGACAGTGAAAAACGCATAAAAAGAAGTTTATTTAAATTCTTTCTACCAAATCTGATCATCTAAAGTGACTGTGAACATAATCAAAAGGAATAAATCAAAAGTTTGAGGGTACGTGGCCCGGCTACTGACTGAAAGGGCTGCCATGTAAAAGAGTTCACCATAGATTTGGACTTTAATACAGTGCAACACTGTTTGATTTAATTTGACAAAATGTGATCATCTAAAGCAGGGGTGGGGAACATTTGGCCCTCCAGGTGTTTTGAACTACATCGATATTGATGCTTTGACCGCATTATGGCTGTAAGAGCATTATGGGAGATGTAGTCCAAAACATCTTGAGGGCCGAAGGTTCCCCACCCCTGATCTAAAGTGACTGTGAACATGCAGAAGCTAAAAACGTCTGTAAAGGCTGCTCCTGGGCTGAGAAAGGCAAGTAAGCTTAATTCACCTCACGGCCATGAAATTTAGGAGGCTGAGAAGTCTGTCACTCAAGCAGCTGCATATAGTAGTGATTCAGTGACCCAACTAACTTTGGAGATTTCTACTCTTTTGGATATTGAACTGGCTGCTCTTCGAGAAGATATTTCGAATTACATCGCAAAAGAGGTCCGTAAAGAGATTGCTAACATGAGGAAAGAGATTTCAGAAGTGGCGAACCGTACTACTGAGGTCGAACGGACACAGAGCGAGTACATGGATTCCCATAATGAGCTACTGATTCGGGTGAAGTAATTGTAAAAATGGCTGACCTAGAAGACCGGAGCCGCAGAAATAACATTCACATTCGCAGAATTCCTGAAGTGATCACTACAAGTGAATTGAGCATCTATGTTAAAAAGGTCATTCGCTCAGTATTGCCAAATTCCACTGGCTGTTAAAACCCAATTCAGCTCCAAGTGATGCACCAAGAGACACAATGATAAGAGTTTACTTTTACCACATCAAGGAGTTTTTCTTAGCTGAGATTAGGCAAGGGTTCAGCCTGTCAGAAGAAAACAAAAATCCTACCCTACATAGGAGACGGGAGTTTTATTTTTTCATCAGAGAGTTACAAGATAGAAATAAAAAGTACCGATGGGGCTTCTCCGTAAAAATGTCATTCTGATATGAAGGCCAAAATATTGTTCTAAACTCTCCAGAAGAGGCAAAAGAAATGTTAAAATCTTGGCAAATACATAATCCCGTTATGCCTAAACCACCAAAAAAAACCAGAAGAAAAGATATCTGAACCTGTTTGTTATAATTGTATTGTTGCTACATACAGCATATGTAACTGTGTTCATTTTACATTCAAAGAGGTTCTGCAGCAGCTGAGGTTTTTCTATGCATTGACTAGTTTGCTAAGGAAACCAAGATGAAAAAAAGTTTGAACCTTTTTCTCTCATATGGCATGTTCTAAAAATGTACTAATCACTGTTAATTCTGAAATGTTGTTGGCTAAAGGAAGTGGATGCATGGTTTGGAGCATTTGGACTAAAACTATTATTAAAAATTGAGAATAAATAAATAATTTAAGAAAAAGAAAAACAGCAACAATTAACTTCAGCCTAATCTACACATTGAGTGCCTGAAGTCTCCCTTTAATGATTTCTTACTGTGATCGTTCCTATTTAGATCCTCCAGAGTCCGTGGAAGCCATAATCACTTATTTAAAGCTACTTTGTAAGAGAGAGACACACACACACACAACAAAAATACTATATATATGTTCATGTGTCTAATGTGAGACGGATACTAGGGGTGAGATTTATCAAGGCAAAAACAGTGTCTTCTGGATCAAAATACCTGTGTTAACTTGATACATTTCACTCCAAGTGTCATTCTGACAGAAAAGAACACATTCTGGCAAAAGAAAAATGCAATTTAGATTAATCATAAGACTTTCTTAAATAGAGGTATTTGTCTTTCATCCTAGACCTAGAATAATCAGTAGCAGCAGCATGTTATACAATGATGGCTCCCTGATTTTATCTCAATGTCTTTCTTTGTAAGCCTTTAAGATGAACAAGCAAAACATTTTAGCATTGTTTTCGTCCAAGCAAGTATTCACCGATGTGCACAATGTACAATTATGTTGCAAATTATGTACAAGAACATGACATTACCTGTTATTATGTGCTGCTTTATACCACTTGCAGAAAAGCATGGCAGTGATGGATGTAACACACAATAAAGTCCATTAATGAGTGCTTTAAGATGTCTGTAAAGACCATTGTCAACTGTTGTGGTTTCTTTACGTGATAATAGTGGTTCAGTGGTTCCTCGTCAGAAAGCATTAGGAATATAATCCATGATTTTCTTAGAAGATGAGCTACAATGCTATCATGCCATCAGTTAATGTATTTTTTATTTGGTAAATTACACCATAATTGTTTGTGTCTGTTTTCCTGACTCCGGCCCTGACCAGAAGGCCTCTGAAGTACTGTATGCTGGGAATCTTGTAGAACATTTACTTACTTAAAAAGTAATCATAAATGTTTATGTCACCACATGTCTGGCATTTCTTCACATTTCTGGCACAAGCATTTTATTAAATTAATATACATATAAGCTTAATTAATGTAAGCTCCCTTTTTACATAAATACATAGATTTGTTTAAGGGTTATTGCAAGCACCATGACCACTTCAGTGATTTGAAGTGGTCATGTTTCTTCGATTCTGTATGTGCAGCTTTCAAGATTTTTTTTCCAACTCTGCTAGTATGACCTAAAACTGAAGAACTGAAACATTATCTGAAGCCATAATACTTCAGGTTTGATATCTACAAAAAGCAAATGGGAGTTAGTTACACTGACATCACATAAATCACTAAAATATTTCTGTGTTGCTGTGGATTAACTCTGTTTTGTAGCACTGGGTTTAATTTTATATTGAAAGCAATAGTATTTCAGCAAAACAATGATTAGAAAACATTAGATCATATCATGGTAATGTAAAAATATCTACATTTTTATTTTGTTAAGATTTCATTTCTCTGTGTAGGGTGTCCTAATAGGGTTTCAGTTTCGGCAATAGCAATAGTGCTGCCATAATGGCATGGTTATTTTTTAGTAGGTTTAATGCCACCATGTCTCTCTCTCTTGCTCTTCCTCTCGCTAACGTTTTCAATCTCTCCCTTTCCTCTGGCACATTTCCCTCACCGTTTAAACCTGCAACCTTAACCCTGATTCTGAAAAAGCCCAACCTTGATCCCAACTCCCCGTCCAACTACCGCCCTATCTCGCTACTGCCATTTGCCTCCAAGATCCTCTAGAGAGTTGTGTACGCATGATTGACAGACTTTCTCGAATCCAACTCTCTGCTTGACCCCCTTCAGTCTGGATTCCGCGCTGGTCACTCTGTCAAAATTGCTGTGACCAAATCTCGCGGTCAATACTCTATCCTAATCCTCCTTGATCTTTCTGCCACCTTTGACACTGTTCATCATCAACAGCTTCTTTACATTCTCCATAACTTTGGTCTACGGGATACTGCTCTCTCCTGGGGCTCCTCCTACCTCTCCCAGCGCTCTTTCAGTGTTTTCTTTCTCTGGCTCTGTCTCTTCTCCCCAACCCCTCTCTGTCGGCGTCCCCCAAGGTTCTCTCCTTGACCCCCTACTGTTCTCTAACTATACTGCCTCCCTTGGTAAACTCATCAGCTCCTTTGGCGTCCAATACCATTTATATGCAGATGACACGCAAATCTACCTGTCCTCCCCTGATTTCTCTCCGCCCACCTTGACTCGTGTTTCTGACTGCCTCTCTGCTATTTCCAACTGGATGGCTGCTCACTTCCTTAAACTCAACCTGTCCAAAACAGAACTTATAGTTTTTCCTCCCTCAAGTGCTGCTACTCCTGTGTCTGTCTCCATCCAAGTCAAGGGCGCTACTATAACCTCTACCTCGCAGGCTCGCTGCCTAGGGGTTCTTTTTGATTTTGACCTCTCTTTTACTCCTCATGTCCAATCGATAGCCAAATCCTGTCACTTCCAACTCAAGAAC